TCAAACAAACAAGAAGCAACTGTTAAATAAGTAAGAATCAACCTCAAACAAATCAGGGATCAAGTTAAACGCGTCAAAACTAAGCATAAACAAATCCGAATCAAGTTAAACAAGTTCGAATCAAAATTAACATCACAGGATCAAATAAGAACGCGTCATAATTTAAATTAAACAAGCCAGAATCAACTCCAAACAACAATGACTCACACACACACACACACACACACACACACACACACACACACACACACACATACCTGGTTAATTTGGTGTCAGGTTGTATGTGGAGACGCAAAAATAAACCAACATGAAAATCTGACATTTGTTTATCTGACTGACAAACAGAGGAAGGGGGGGGGAGTTAATAGAAGGAAGACGGGGGAGGGAAGAGGGGGGGGGGGAAGATGTTGGGGGAGGGAGAAGGCATGAGGGGAGAGGGAGGAGATATGGGTGGCAGAAGGGGGTAGGATAGTACAGGGGCTCACGGGCAGTCCTTACAGTAAATACTCCCTGAATCACATTTAATTCTATAAATTCGAAGCCTTTCAATACGGCCCTTATTCTGAAATTACCCTGAGCCCTGAACCCTGTCTAAGAACAAATTAAGGTCCTCTATTACTGATGTGCACCTATACTAAAGTACCTCCGTGTTGCTACTGTACTATACGTCATCCATCCAGCCAGAGATTGCAGACTTCGCGCAAAAAGTACAAAGTCACCCATCCCATTAAGAGCTCATTGCACAGTCAACAAGCACAGTAAGCGTTTTATCTCTAAGGCTTTAAATTTATCATTAATTTAGATTTTTAAAGGTAATATAGTAAGTGTTTGGTCCATCATGCATCAGGTAATTTTATTGTTGTTCTCTATGCAAAGAGTCTGCACGTCCCTGGCTTATAAGTACTGGAATCAGAGTACACATTGTTGAAAAAGTATACATAATTACTATACAGAATCGGAATAAATTACTAAATTGCCAACATTCATATTAGTAAAAAAAATAATAATTATTAAAAATAAGTCATTTTTCAAAGATTTCAGTTTAATTTGCGTATAAAAATATGCTTCAATAACTTCAAGATCAGTTAATTAAATTTTGGAGTGACTTCACTTACATTGTTGTCATAAATACATTTAAACAATAAACAGTGTATATTATTTGTTTGTCTCGCAATGCACGTGACGTCTTTTTGATGTTTACGAGACGTGTGTGAGTAAACTGTGTTGGCTATTGTTTATATATATCTAAAGTGTGTGTGTGTGTGTGTGTGTGTCAGAAGGCTCTATAATTTCCTGTGTACATCTGATACACGGAAGCATTATTGGGAGTCTTGCGCCACACAAGACATCCTACCATCGTCCTCCTCCGCCAGTCGTTATCCCGGCGAGCGGTAGTGACGTCTCGAAGTTAATCAGGGGTGTATAAATAATGCAAACAATGACGCACGTTGATACTAAGGTGACGCACGGTGACGCCTAGGTGTTGCATCGTGAAGCACATGGCATCGCCCCATTGCAACACGGGAAGACGTAAAACAAAGCACCGGAACATCAAGCTGAGACGTACGACGCACCTACAAATATAACGCAACTCTTATTCATATTAATTCACTTTAAAGTAAAGGAATTATAAGAACTCGATGCAAAGCAACGCAAAATTACACCTTCCCACAAATCGTGAAACACCTTCAAACGCAACGCAAAAACATCGAACTTGTGACTTTTTTTTTCCGAAAACTTGTGTAGTCACCCATAAACTGTCTCATGTCATCGTTTTCTGTTACTCGTACATAAAAAAATATATCTTTACCCCTCATTTACCAAGGCAACATTTGTTTTATCTTGTGATTTGCACGAAAAGTTTATGATGTGGACCTCGCCAAGCTTACCAATATAGAAACATATCCGTGAATTCGTTCTCAAATTATCTTAGAAACAGACCGACAGGATCGAAAACAATAGCCGATACAACACTAAGCTGATGATGGGTACTGACCGTGTTGTTCCCGTGGGAGAGTGACTTGACATGACATTACAGTACATGGTGTGTGTGTGTGTGTGTGTGTGTGTGTGTGTGTGTGTGTGTGTGTGTGTGTGTGTGTGTGTCCTTCCCAGTCACACACACAGGATCTCACACTCACATACCTTCCTGCCACTGCCTGGGAGCTGAATTTATCTAATAATAACAACATCACCCTAATGCAGAATAGGGGTTAGGTTATTCATTGAGTGAAAGAAGAAGAAGTAGAAGTGGGTTGGTTGGGTGAATGGTTAGTAATGATGTGAAGGAAAGAAGGAAGGAAGGAAGGAAGGAAGGGGTGTGTGGGGGACATTGTTGAAGGGCTAGTAGTGATGGGGAAGGAAGGAAGGAAGGAAGGAAGGGATGTGTGGTGGATAAAGAAACATTTAGACGTGACTGTAAACAAATACCTTGGCAGCAACGGTTCTTCGTACTCAAGGTTTAAACCATCGTACTAGTGGGGTTAAATCTTCATACTCAGGGGATTAAATCATCGTACACAAGGGGTTAAGTCAATGTACTTACACTGCCAACTGTAAAACTATGTGCAGTATATCAAATAGCCAGTGGTGCTTCCTTCACTGGTTAAAGAGAGAAAGGCTGAGACAGACAGATAGACAGAGAGAGAGAGAGAGAGAGAGAGAGAGACTGAGGCAGGCAGATAGAGAGAGAGAGAGAGAGACTGAGACAGACATAGACAGAGAGACATAGTTCACAGATTACTGCTGACCTCCCGAAGCTTCGACCGGATGTTTTATGCTAAGTAGCTGAGGTCATGGACATTTTAATACCAGACTTTGAAGCCTTGGACGTTTCGAACCGAGGTATTTCGACCTAGCTGTTGGGCGCTTCAACCTACGAACCCTAACCTAACTTACGAAGCCTAGGTCATGGAAGCTCTAATTGTGCACACACTTAGTTTGTTTCAGTGTGGCACCTTCTCACCTTCGCAACAACCAGATCTAAGAGGCTTTACCCTGATACACTACTACCATAACTCGTAACATATCAACTTAAGCATTTTTCGCCTCAACAAAACCAAAGTAAATGTTAAAGTTGTCTCCAAGATATGTTTTTGGTTGTGACAGTCTGTTCATCCTGTAGATGTGTTTATCTTTACACACACACAACCAAAAGAAAAACAGGATGGACAATATGAGACCAGAGATCAAAACACCCAAAAAACAAAAGTTGGTAACATACAGAAGCTAAAAACCCTGTTACAAAATATCCTGATGATGTACAGTATATGAGCACCTATTTATCATAATGAGTACGATGATATTGTACTCACGGGTTTAAGTCATTGTACTCCACCAGTTGATGATATCTTACTCAGAGGGTAGCTTTATTGTGCTCTGGGGGGTTAGGTTAGGTTACCGTTAGATTAGCTTAGTGTTAGGGTTAGGTTAGTGTTAGTATTAGGTTAGGTTAGTGTTAGGTTAGGGGAATCTTGAGGTAAAATAAGCTGGGAGCTAATTCTGATGTGATCCTTCGTGTGCATCATTAAACATAGCAATGACTGCTTAATAAAACTGATCAAAAGATTCCTTCATCTACACATGAACAATGAGCATTGATAGTTCCCTGATCCTTATTTAAATGTTTAGTTGTATTGAGGGAAAACACAACATAGTATTCTTTGAACATCTGGCCTGAGATATAGGATACCAGAGTATTCTTTTGTACCCAATTTTTTTTACGGGGAATAGCCCACCTGGGCACAGGTCATCGACCCACAACGGGGCCTAGGGGGCGAAAAAAAAAAGTAAAAAGAAATTACAAATAGAAATGAAAAAGTAGTAGTTTCCATAATTTATGACGTTGCCTATGAACACTTGAACCAGTCCACCACAACACTTGGCACCTAAACCTTTGTCTTCCTTCTGGGTAATTTGACTCATTGGAGGGTGGAGGGGTGGGGGAGAACTCACCTCCCATCCTAAAGGTAGCTGGTCGCCCCCCATGCAGGACACAACCATTACAGCTTTGCAGTTAAGGTGTTTCCTTGTGTTCCGAAGGTTTAATATACAGTAGGTCATATCAGTTCTGCCTTGATCTGTCCATTAGGCCTCACGAGCCCCACCATCACTATCTCACAGATCTAACAACATTTAAAAGTCATAGTTGGCCCCACAAACACTGTACAATATTCGGCCATCTTCACTTCCCCAACTGCAAAATTAGGTACAGTATTCATTTACAGCTGCGTGGACTGGATACGCCCCGGGGTCTAACTAGCGACCCTTAAGACAAAGACGTGAGCTCCATCCTCTCAGCCGCCACACACTTAACTACGTATATACAGTATTCTGGTAAAATTATCTTGAGGTCCAGCAGGACTCACATTTACTTTGATGTCGTATCCCGCAGGTAATGGCAGAAACCACCGTCAACATGTACCACAACAATACCACCGTCCAGCAACAGCACCAGGAGGATGCTGCCGCAGCTCACCTTGCCATTGTGAACGACGTCGCCTACCGCTACCTCATGCCCATCTTCATCACAGCAGGTATCTTGACCAACCTACTGAATGTAGTGATGCTGGGAAGGATGAGGCATCATCAGCAGCAACGTCAAGCCCAGGCCACCACCTTCTGCTACCTCATGTGGCTCGCCCTCACTGACATGCTCGCCTCAATTGCCCTCGTCCCCGCCCTTGTCCACGTCGACCGTACTCACCTCTCATATGGCTGGGCGTTTTACTACGCCCACCTGGAGCTGCCCACCCTGAACAGCCTGACAAGTGCCAGTGTGTACATCGTGGTGGGGCTCTCCGTGGACCGCTACATCGCCGTGTGCCATCCCCGACGCTACCAGGATGTGAGCGCCCCCCGTCTGGCAGTCATCCGCATCACTCTGTCCCTCTTGGTGCCTGCACTGATCTACATCCCACACAGCTTCTACCTGGAGGTAGTGTCAGGCGAAGGGGGTGTTGGTTGGACCTACGAGGGGGTGGAGATGGCCACCCCTGGGGCCTGGCACGCTTGGGAGGTTGTGGTGGAGCTGTGTCACCGCATGGCTCCTGCCATCCTACTTGTCCTCCTCAACTGCAGCATCATCTACACCTTCAAGAAGGTCACAGCACGACGCAAGAACATAGTCACTAAAAACGACTCCGTCAACAACTCATCCAGCAATGCCAGCAAGAAGAGTGAGGAGGGCGGCAAGAGTCAGCAGGAGCGGCGACTAATTTACCTGCTGGTCACCATCGTGGCCACCTTCCTGCTCACCAACCTGCCCGCCACCGTCCTAGCTCTAATAGACACCGCTGGCGCCACCCATGGCTCCTTCTCCCTTGAGGTGAGTGTTTAGTTCCTCCCTGACGACTGACAAAACACACCATAAGTCAACATAGCTCTAATGCTAGTACTGATAGATGAGGTAACACTAAGAGTATCAGGCAGTGTTCACAGACTCAAACATACTTCTTGCTAAGAACATAGGTCTTACAGGTATCCACTAACGAGAGCTAATCATATAGGTGTCCACTAACGAGAGCTAATCATACAGGTATCACCTAACGAGAGCTAATCATACAGGTATCCACTAACTAGAGCTAATCATACAGGTGTCCACTAACGAGTCAATCATCCATACAACAAGTATCACACTAACGACGCCTAATAACCATCTTACAGGTGTATCGCGCCGTGGCCAACTGCCTGGAGGTGCTGAGCTTCTCCCTGAACTTCGTTTTGTATTTCATCTTCGTACCCGGGGTCCGCCAGGGGCTGCAGGAGGCGGTGAAGGCGGTGCGCGTGACCCTCTGTGGCCTGGTGGTCAACACCGTGCCATCCCAAAGCTGCTTCATCTCCGAGAACAACACCAAGAATACCGACTCTACCGAGGTGTAGGATACATAGACCTGTAGGATACATGGACCTGTAGGATACATGGACCTGTAGGTTTCATGGACTTGTAGGATACAGGGACCTGTGGGATACATGGACATGTAGGATACCTGGACCAAGAGTGTATCATGGTATAGGATACTCATTTGCGAGTGTGAGTGTGTGTGTGTGTGTGTGTGTGTGTGTGTGTGTGTGTGTGTGTGTGCCTAAAAAACCAACCTGACTGGGCAACCACACCCAGTAAGGTCATCCTTATGCGGTCGAAAACAAAATCACAATTACAGATCAAAGCAAAAACAAACGAAACAACCTCTTATGATTGCTGCATGAAATGTCAGGACCTTCTGGATACTGGCACAAATGAACAAATGAGCATCCTGAAAGAAGAACCGCCCTTGTGGCAAACGAGCTGGTTAGGTATAACATCGACATAGCAGCCATAAGCGAGTCCTGTTTCCCAGACGAGGGTCGACTCACAGATTGGGGTTCCAGCTATACCTTCTTCTGGAAGGGTAAGTCCGCCATGGAGAAGGAGTCAATACTTTTGAGTTAGCCCAACTGCATACCAAGGCAGATAAGCGCCAGCGCCAGAAAGATGCAGCCGCCGCCCCTCCCGCACTAGATGTGGCCCTCCACACGTGCAACATCTATGGACAGCCCTGTCAATCCTATATCAGCCTCTCAAGTCACTTCCAAGCTCACCAACAAAGGTGATATCCTTTATAACTCATATCATTGTACTAAAGCTGGATGATGGCCATACTCGATTCTGAGTGACAGCAAAGTACTGCAGTAGTAGTAGTAGTAGTAGTAGTAGTGGTGGTGGTGTGTGTGTGTGTCATATTCACATAGGTGTATGGCAAATCATACTTGTTCTTGTGTGTTTGTATTGATATTCATGTATAAAAGTATGCCATGTATTTCTCATATATTTCACATGTACTGTATGTATATTATGTATTGTCAAGTATTTGTTACAGTAAAATTGTGAAACCAGTTATGTATTTAGTGATATCCTTGGAAATTTCAGAAAATGCCATCTACTAAAATTACTCTTTCACTCAAGGACTTCATGAAGGTTCTAAAATATTATCATAATTATTACTCAATCTTACTGAAAGGCTTTAAACAACGTGCTGAGACTAATATATCACTTATGTCTTCCCCATATACTGCCAGACTGGGGTCACTAATTCTGAGGGGAAATACTTAACTCTAATCTTAATTTCTAAGGGTCGCTGCCACCAGACCCCCTCTGGACAGTATGTAACTCGTTAGGTAGCGTGCAGAGTGGACTAGGCATTGGGTTAGGTTTGTCATTGACCAGATCGATAAGGGGAAAGAAGGGTGAAACCATAACATGTCTTAACTAATTTACTCTTTATAAACTATATGGTAAAAAAAAAAAATACAGTTGAGCTGGCCTTCCTCAGAAGAACAACGATGAGTTTGGTTACCCTGCTTACAATATCATTTAACACTTCGGACAGCTCCACCTGTATGGAATATAGCACCTTAGGTCATCATACATAGTAGCACCTTCTCAACACACCCGTTACCCTCCACACCTGCAGGTATGGGACTCCTTGTAATTTCTAGGTATACCTAACAGGCACCTCGTTCGCACACCGTCCTCGGTGGGTAGAAACGAGGGCTACACCAAGAGACATACCAGTACTATTTCTACGCCTGGTATTATAGGTCGCTCCAAGTGACAACCGCAGAGTTTCTCAAGCGTTTCCTTATTTGTTCTACTCATTTGGGGTGGTGTGCTGGGGATTCACAGGTTCACAGTGGAAGTGCATGACCACTGTGGTGTGGCCTTCACAGTGTGGTCATGGCTGACGCCCGGTAGGCGCTCAGACGCGTCGTCCTGTGTTGGGAGAAGTCGAGGGATCACTCAGAATACTGCTTTCGTCACCACACATTAGTACACTATGACTTCACTTTATGACATCAGGCAAGGTTTTAAGATGTAAAAACTGCAAGACTGAATAAAGCATGATGAAGGACACTGACCTGTGTTGGGAGAAGTCGCGGCATCAATGAGGGTGATGTCCCAACTCCCACCCTCCTCTCTGTTTAGGCCTACAGTTTCCAATCTTCAATTTTCAATTTGGATTCCTATGGTTCCCACATCTCCATTTTCCTATCTATTGTGACCTCATGCTTTATAAATACATATCTTAATCCTAAATTACACACTAAGGTAAGGGTCTGGTTTGCTAGTTCCTGGGTAAATTCATTGGGTTATAATGTGGGGTATGGTTGTTTGGTTCACACTCAGGATGGGATGGAGAAGGGAAACTCACAATGTGCTCTCTGTATACACGTTGTATTGGATGTACAATGCTGCGGCTGTAGCTAGAAGAAGAGAGTTGGTTGGTGAGGATGCTCAGAGGAGGACAGCTTGTGGGTCGCCATGCTCGCCGGCGGGAGCGAGGACCGCCAGGCAGGCGGAGGAGGAGGAGGTGTTGCTGGCTGGTTGGTGTAGGTAGAAAGAGGAGAGTTGGTTGGTGAGGATGCTCAGAGGAGGACCAGCTTGTAGGTCGCCATGCTCTCCGGCGGGAGCGAGGACCGCCAGGCAGGCGGAGGAGGAGGAGGCGTTGCTGGCTGGTTGGTGTAGGTAGAAAAAAGAGAGATCACCACGAGGTCAGATCTTAAATAGCGGGGGGTAGGCGTGGCTTAGTAGTTGACCTCCGTGATGTATGGCGGTGCTGGTTGACCCAGACCACGAGGCATACACTGGGGAATTTGTGGGGTCGGCTACGCAGCAACAAACAGCGTTTGTAGGGGAGAAATCCACTACAATACTCCCTCCTTCCCTCCAGGCGGTGTAGGAGACTTGTTGTCTGCAGGGTTGCATGGCACATGTGAGGCAGAACGGGCGGTGCATGCCTCATGTGAAACATAACGGCGATGGCGTGGATGAGCCGGCCGCTAGTGGAGGCAACTGTCTAGACACACAAGATATGTGGGAGAAGAGAGGGAGAAAGAGGGTTGTGGAGGCGATTAATGTTGTGCTTCCCTCACGGCAGGTACAGAGTCGTCAGATGCGCCTGCTGGGGTGTGTGGGCCTGGGTCAGGAGCAGGGGCTGCGTCAGCAGAAGCGGATGAGGGGTCGTGACAGCAGCTGGGTCCACGACAGCAGCAGGGTGCAGGACAGTAGCAGGGAGTACCTGAGGGAGAAAAGAGGGGTGTGTGGGTCCGCACTCAGGCTCATGGGCCGCGTCGGGAGCAGGGGCTGCATCAGGAGAAGCGGCAGGGGGTGGCGTCTGAGGCAGGACGGGTGTGTTGGTCCGCACTCAGGCGCATGGGCCGCGTCGGGAGCAGGGGCTGCATCAGGAAAAGCGGCAGGGGGTACTGCTCGGCCGCGGGCAGCGTCTAAGGCAGGACGGGTGTGTTGGGGTCGGTAGGACGTGGTGCTTGGGGCAGGAATAGGAGCGGCTGTCTGCTTAGAATAGCAGAGCTGCTCTAGGGTGTCTAACCTGCGGTGTAGAGACAGTAGCTGTAGAGCCGATGAGAGCTGCTTCTGGGTGGATAAGCCAGTCTTCCATGTTGCTTGAAGACTGGGAGCGTTATCTGTTTCTCCTCCATCCTGTGTGAGTGCGAAACTCCGGGGGTCACCATTTGTGGGGTATGGGTTGTTTGGTTCACACTCAGGATGGGATGGAGAAAGGAAACTCACTATGTGCTCTCTGTATACATGTTGTATTGCATGTACAATGCAGCTTGGTGCTGGGAAGGCAGCATTGTTACAAGCGTGATGTAGAGAGAGCTGGTTGGTGAGGATGCTCAGAGGAGGACAGCTTGTGGGTCGCCATGCTCGCCGGCGGGAGCAAGGGCCGCCAGGCAGACGGAGGAGGAGGAGGTGTTGCTGGCTGGTTGGTGTAGGTAGAAAGAGAGAGGTCACCACGAGGTCAGGTCTTAAATAGCGGGGGGTTGGCGTGGCTTAGTAGTTGACCTCCGTGATGTATGGCGGCGCTGGTTGACCCAGACCACGAGGCATACACTGGGGAATTCACGGGGTCGGTAACTCAGGGACAAACAGCGTTTGTAGGGGAGAAATCCACTACAATAATATCAACGCGGCACACCCGAGGCGGCCTAGGCGCCAACCCAAACAAAGCCTAGCATCGTATTTTCATGGCGTGGGTATACAAGATATTCCTTTTGAAGCATAGTTTCTAGATCACTTCCAACACTTCCCATAGTTCTGATACCTTTATCCTTTTTCCAGATCATTGTTCTCATGCATTTTCATATGATATCTGTGGAAGTTATGTTCGCTACACGTTCACAGACGTAAATAGTATGACCTTCAAACCATGCTCCACACTTAAGTCCTACAGTACACTAGCCCGGCTCAACTGGACTTTCCCAATCATCTTATGGATACCCTGAATTCTCCTTAATGCTATGAATACATACAAATAACATTATATAACTGTACCTGGGTACAATACAACACATGGTCTAGTAACATTGAGTAGGTGAGTTATCCTTTAACAATGTTTCCCGTTTTCTGAGATTCTACAAGCGCGGTGGATTTGAATGTTATATAGTGTAATATGAATTAAATGGGGTTTTTAGGAATGACAATGATGTGCGCAGTACACCCAGGACCCCATGGCAATTTCTAGAGGTATGTGATGCGATGCAAAAAAAAAAAAAAAAAAAATTATATATACAGTCAACCCTCGCTTTACACGGTCCCACATTCCGCGTTTCCACGTTTACGCGGTACCCTGCCGAAACCGGAATGCTCACATTCCGCGGTGCGTGTACCCCTTTACGCAGAGAGTGGCTGGCGAGCCGC